GAGACGAGCACTGGTTAATACTGCGTCCAATGTGCAATCGTCCAAATTGAACCGAGCAAGTTAATTAATTCGAATTTTTTCGATCCTACCACACACTCCGATTCGGGTGCGTACGATCCGTTTTGGAAGTACACGTTGGGGCACTCGGCCCACGGTAGCTTCGATTGAAAACTCTGGAAAATAATTTTTAATAATTTCGATCAATAGAGAGAATTATTATTTTATTTCTTTTATTTATTATCCTATTCTACTATTATTATTATTATTATTATCCTTATTTCTACTATTTATTATTTTTATATTATTATTATCCTTATTTCTACTATTTATTATCCTATTTCGTTATAAATATTGAAAAGGGAATAAATAATTTTAACATTGTTTTATTATAAAAACAAATTTATCTTCTTAGAAAATCTTTTCGGAAAGAAAAGAAATTAATAAAATGAAATAAAATATATACTCACTTGAACGAAGTAAAATAGGCACCAAGCGATAATAGTGTTGTAATACAGAGCTACGTTGAAAGATACCACAGCGCTGCTCACACCTATACCACCCATGTACGGAGAAACCTGTGTTAGAAAACACGATGTGATCGCTTGGGTGAAGGAGGGAGCCTATTTTGACGGATTGCGTTGTATACATGTGCAACAATCACCTGATTCCACACACCGATAGCTCCCTTCCGTAATCTCTGGCCAATCGCCAATTCCAGATAGAATATGGGGATACCCTCGATGGCCAGCATTACGAAGTATGGGATCAAAAATGCTCCTGTTACAATAGAGGAAAGGAAGGAAAAAAAGAAGAATATTCACAAAAGTTAAGAAAAATAAAAAATAAAGAAGAAGTTTTCGATGAAGGAAACCCACCTCCGCCGTTCTTTTGAGCGAGATACGGGAATCTCCACACGTTTCCAAGACCTACGGCGTATCCGACGGTTGCTAGTAGAAAAGTAAGCTTGCTATCCCAATTTTCTCTTTCATCTTCGCCCGCTTCCGGCCGGAAAATCGCTTTTCCCTCGTTACTCCCGAGCTTACTACCCCCACCCTCGTTCCCCGCTTTGTTCTGCAAATGAAACATTACAACAAACAAAATTATAATAATTATAATATAATATATTTATAATATATTATAATATTATAATATATTATAATATATAAATTATAATATAAAATATATGCGTTACACGTAATCAATTATAATCAGAAAAGAAAGGTAGACGTTATTACCTTCATGTTAGGACTGGAGTCCTCAAAGGCTGCGTTCGTGGCCCCATAATTGGCAGTGGTG